AGTACATGAGTGTCTTCTCACAAGATTTGGAGTATCAGAAATCTCTGGGATCCAGCTAGAAGGATGATGATATCACCATTGCCTAGGTGTTATGGTAGAAGTTGAGGATGATGTAAGTGTATTTGTTAAATTTTTTCCAAAAATATTTTAAAAATACTTTTTAGCAGGTATTCATTATGGTAAGGGGCCCCTGATATATTAAGCAGACCGTTTACTGCAAAGCACAGCAGCATAGCCTATTTCTTACAGTATTGGGCTCACCGTTATTGTGGGCTTAACTTGTACTGGTTCACTTTAACATCTTGTCATTTGACTATGCATCTGCACTTGAAGAAAACAAGAACATTGTCACTGCATTTTTCTGATGTTAAAGTTGGGTACTTCCATCACAGCAAACTATAGAACTATAGAATCTGCTGAAAGCTTATTTTGAATAAACATGTTATATGGTGATTCAGCATCAGAACATCTAACCTATGTCACCACCTTCTCAGTCTGCTTGCTTTCTGTTTTTGTTTTTGTCTTTTATTTATGTTGCCTAACCATTAATCTATTGTTTTGTTCTTAATGTAAAGCTTTCACACTTGCAAGTAGTTACCTTTAGGGAAACCAACATGTCAAAATGATCATAAAATCCAGAGTCAGAAGCAAAGAAAGCCATATGCTGACTGCTACTCTAAATGCTTAGCACAATCCCTTCCCATATTCCTAGCCTCCCTATTGGATATTCCCTGTGAGTGTTGGTCCTACTGGCTAACAAGGAGCCGTGGGAGGTGGGAATAATTTTACTTTAATTAAAAATAGTTGAGATTTGTATATAAATTCAACTTATTTCTCTGGATATACTGATTATTTTGACTGTCTATTTTACTGAATGTATTCTACTCTTGTGCATGTTCAGGTTATTCCCTAATTGACTTTCTTAGGCTTGTAACAGGTTTACTTTAAGGGATAATCCTACCCAAATGGGTGGTTGACAAACCCAATCATATTGGAGCCTTCTTATATCTCTCCGGGCCTGTAGTGGAAATATGTTCCTTCCATAACTATTATTTTTCCCTTAATAGCATCATATGTCATAATTCTTTGATTGATCTGCCATGTTGTAAAATTAAAAACTGGGAGTCCAGCTGTAAAAAAGTGACATCTTTGCTATAGCTTGCTATGGTGAGGTAAAGTAAGACTGCTGTGGAGAACTCTTTACTTTGGAGATTCTGACAGATGATAGAAGGCATTTTATTAAATCCACTGGGGTCCACTTAGAACTGAAATATTAATACTAAGATTAATACTGAGCATAATAAAGCCAGGGAACCAAATTGAGTAAGTAAAATTTGCTGAGGATACATAAAAGTAGAACTGGCAAACAGTGGTCCCCCGTGCACTCAAAAATCTGTTTCTCCGCCACCATGTCGGAAGCACTCTTTGGGGTTTATTCACTAAAGAAGTAAATGTATACTGCCTTTAAATCTGAAACCTTGAAATATGCAGAGGAAATTATCTTTTTAAATCTTCTGTATGTGATCGGGTGATTCACTATGAAATAGGTTTACTTGGTTAAGCAAAAAAGTAAATTTCTTTGTAAATCATATTGTGCCTAGAAGCTCACAAAAAAAAGACATTTGGTCATATTTATGCTTTATTCTATAATGAAACTTTGGCTTTTAGTAGCATAAGTGATGAACTGAATTGTTTATGTAAACCACTTATCTCAGTAAAACATCAACAGTATTTTCTGAAATTGTTTCTATTGACATAAGCAAAGTGTATAAGTGCAGTACATATTAATCATGTTAGATACTTACATACATACATACATACATACATAATAGACCTATGGAGAAGGAACAGGAAATGATTGACTTGTTAATTCTGTTAAGCTCCCTTGATTTTTATTTAATTAAGGGATCAGAAGGTAACTGATCCAAGTATTGCTCCAGACAATCTCATTAAGTAAAAACATCCCTTTAGCCAGTTCAGTGAAAGCCAGATTCAGCGCTAAAAAGCTTAATTTGGCAGTAAACCTGACATTAAATGCAACAAATTGCCTTTTTAACGTATTCGGCTCTTGATTAAATTTAGACATTTAGTAATGGAATTGTCCTTGTTGTAGTTGACAGTTCAATCATTCTAGCCCATTAAAAAGTACAGCATAAAAGGTCTTTCGCACTCATCAGTTTCTAAGACATCTGATGGTCTCCTTTCAGCCCTGAAGGCTTTAGACATAGAAAGGTTAATGACTGACTCTTCATATTTGCCATTTTTCACTTAGTACTTTTCCCATTTTCAAAATGGCAACACTTTTAACTTTAGATTTATCATGAGATAGAGACATGGATATGAAACTAGTAGAAATTTACTAATTTATTTAAGATATTTGGTATGATAAGCAAACACTACCAAACTGATGTTTCTTATCTGACATATATATCAACCCAACTGACATTAAAAAGGACATTTGGACAGACAGCAGCATAAATCAGTCACCCAGAAAGATTACAGTCTTGGTATGAGTACTGATCATGTTAAATCAATATGGATGTGAAGTGTATGCTCTTTCTGGTTTTTCAGTATATCCTTGGTGCTGTATGTAACAAACATATTGGGGAATTTTATGCTGGATATTAATTTTATTATATTTATGTAATTTTATGTCAAATAAATTATATTTTTTGATATTAACTATGCAATGGTCGTGACACCTTACTAAACCCCATATCTCTTCTTGTGGTTCTAAGCAGCATAAATATAGAAAAGCCTTTCAATGATACAGTAACATCAATTGAATCGATTCCCCACTGAACCCCTCTCTCAATGAACCAACATGGGATACAAGAAAACATGTTTTTTGGATAGATAAAAACTGATATTTTTTTTAACTGTATACAAATACATTATCAACTTTGAACTAACAGGGATTGATTTATGAAACTTCTGTCCAGCCATAAGCTGGGCAAATGCCATTTGCACGTCATTTCCAATACTAGATGGAGCTGAGGAACATTGGAATCCCAATGCAATTTCAGAGAAATAATAACCCTCCTTTTATGACTGCACAGTTTTTGGCTTCCCCCTGGATCAAAAAGTAACTGAGATTTCTTTGCAGCTCCAATTTTCTCCTCTGCAACTATATTGCTGGTATGTTTAACTTAAAAAAAATGCATTGAGCTTGGTATGCCTTATATTTCATCCTACACAAACCAGTGCTTGTTCCCTTCAATAGATGGTGTTGTGTTTTTGCTCTGCCACAATAGTAGGAGTAGGCTTTGTAATAGAGATGCTGAGGATGTATTACTTTGCATTACTTCTTTCTTTTCTGAAGTACTGCTTTAAGAATTATAGACCAAAAAACAATTTTTTTTGTGGTTGCCAGGCTTGCCATGAAAGCCTGTTTGCATAACTAGAGTTTGTGCAGATACAAATACATAAATAGAATAAATATTTGTATATATACTATACTTTTTTACAGTATAGTCAGTATGGTATACTGTACTATACAGTAAGGTCATGTTGCACTTTTGGTTGATGCTGGTGTTTTTAAAGTGTGTAAATATATCAAACCACCTCTATGTAAAAATAGTTTTCTTTCCACATACTTGCACACACATACACACATTCTTCCATAAATTTCATAGAATGCCTTTAGCGATTCCTATTTTGCTTCACCATCCTGCTTTTTGAATCTTTGTGTAATAACTCTACATCTTACAGAAAAAAACAATAATGACTTTTGCTTAATTAGATGGGGAAATTACATAGCCGCTTTTTATTATATTCTGCCATATGCAATGATGATTTAATTAAACTTTTCAAGTGACACATAATTTAATATGATTTTAATGAACCAGTTAGCATACCACTGGTCAGAAAAAAAAATGATTTAAGATAAAAAATCTGCATAATTGTGCATAATCGTAATGCATAAATCTTCTGTGTCTTTCGGGAACTAATCATTGGGGTTGATTTACAAAATTATTATAAGCTGTTCACTTACCAAAAGAAATGTTCATTTAGCTTAGTGAATGAAGTGAATCTGTGCTTTCTTCAATCATCCAATCATATGCAGGTAAGACTCTTGTTTGTTTTAATCTTTCTCACATATGACTCAGTAATCTTTACAAAGTGAAGTTTGACCTCATTCCTTAAGCTAGGTGAAAATGTACTTATCGGAAAAAAAACATGCTTTACTACTTAAGTAAATCAACCTCATTGTGTCTTCCTGAAACATACAACAAAAATTACAGCATCCGTACATTTCTAATGTATTATTTGTGGTCAGAAATTTCTGCAGAACAGAGAAATCTTTATGAATACTATAAGGCACTTTAATGGCAATAACATATATTCCCATGAGTTGTTTATGATGAAATAGCAATAAATAAAATTATATAAGAAAAATATGACCTCTGGCTGTCTCTGGCTTTAGGACTTTTTAAGCTATTGACTCGGAACAATCACACAGCAAGTTGGGTGAGAGTGAAATCAGAACTCATGATCTGCATATTTGTTCCAGGCTTGTGGTTAGAAAAGTATTGAAGCTATTAGATCACCATGACAGCCAGAGAACTAGGACTTTCAGAAGCAAAAGTTAGCCATGGTTGCCTCCATATTTCATACTGTATAGGTTTGCTCTAAGAGAAGTGAACATCTCCTTTTGCCTTGGTCTTCTCTCTGTAATGGAACAGTGGGTTTATTAAATCCTCAAAACACCTGTCAATATCAGTAGGATATCCTTCTCCCTTTGTAGCTTTTGTTACCAAACTGATGTTGACCAATAGAAATACACTGGTTAATATATTATGAGTAGGACTTGTACTCGTGAAAATGCCCCGGTCCTTAAGGTCAATACCGACCCTTTACATTTTTTAACCGCAGCGTCTGCTGAGTTCCCGCTCTTGTCGGGACCTCGGCAGCCTGCTGGGGACCTGGCAGTAGCTGTCCCTGGCAGTACCTGTCCAGTTCTATACCTCCTGCTCCTCCTTCCCAGCACCGCCACAGTCATGGACAGCCCCACACACAGCACAGTACATCCCCGAACACCAGCACCTGTCCGCTCAACGCAGAGCACTGCAGAGATCCACATGCGGCCCAGGTGAGATTGCAGCCTTCTGCTCTGGTGGGATGTATTGTGCTGCTGTGGGATGTATTGTGCAGCTTTGGTAGGATGTATGATCTATTGTGCTGCTGCTGCGGTGGGATCTATTGTGCTGCTGCTGTGGTGGGATCTGTTGTGCTGCTGTGGTGGGATATAGTGTTATCTGGGGACTTTTATTGTGCTCTGGGGCAGGGGCAGACTGACCATTCGGGCACTCGGGCGCAGTCCGAGGGCCCGCAGCAGCTGTCACCCTCTTTGGGTTACTGACTGTCCTGCAACACCATCTTCCACTCGTCCTTCGTGTTAAGTCCCGGCCCGACGGCTCACTGAGGAATGCTGCGTACAGACAGAGCTGTGGGGGGGGGGGGGTGCTGGCAGGGGACATTCCACAGCTCTAGAGCAGCATCCACGATTTTCCAGCTTTTTAATTTTTTTTCCAAAGAAGGAGAAAAGGTGAGCAAAAACCTACAAATTATGCTTCTTTACATCTTGTCACTTTGATATTAAGCACATGTCACATGTGAATAAGGCTAAATATGTTGAACATTTACTTCCCAGACAGCATCAGATGCAATCTGTTAGCGAATTGCCAAACTATTGTGAACAATGAGACAGTAGGAAAGAGAATTTGGCCTTTTTGTAATAACATTACTGATTCCCATAAATCATGGCTTGATTTCCTTTGACTTCTTTTTGATCTCTTTGTTCTGTGCGTTACAAACTTCTGACCTCTGCGTTCTGTGCGCTACAAACTTCTGACCTCTGCGTTCTGTGCGTTACTACCTTCTGACCTCTATGTTCTGTGCGTTACTACCTTCTGACCTCTGTGTTCTCTGAATACTACGACCTCTGCGTTCTGTGCGCTACAAACTTACCTTCTGACCTCTATGTTCTGTGCGTTACTACCTTCTGACCTCTGTGTTCTGTGCGTTACTACCTTCCGACCTCTGTGTTCTGTGCGCTACAAACTTCTGACCTCAGTGTTCTGTGCGTTACTACCTTCTGACCTCAGTGTTCAGTGCATTACTACCTTCTGACCTCTGCGTTCTGTGTGTTACTACCTTCTGACCTTTGCATTTTGTGTGTTACTACCTTCTGACCTCTGCGTTCTGTGTGCTACTACCTTCTGACCTCTGCGTTCTGTGCGTTACTTGCTGCTGAGCTTTGCTTTCCTTATTATTGAACTCTGCGTTATTTAATGCTGCATATTTGCCACTCTGTGCATTTCTTACTACTTACATTGGTTCTGTTCTTGGGACTCTCATGCAATGGTTCTGGTCTGATGTCTGTCCTGCATTGGCTCTGGTCTGTTGTTTGTCCAGCATTGGCTCTGGTCTGATGCCTGTCCTGCATTGGCTCTGGTCTGATGTCTGCCCTGCATTGGCTCTGGTCTGATGTATCTCCGGCATTGGCTCTGGTCTGATGTCTGTCATGCATTGGTGTTGGTCTGAGCTCTTGCATGCATTTGTGCTGGTCTGAGGTTTGCGTGCAGTGGTTCTGGTCATGGGCGCACTGGAGCACGGGGGTGGTGGGGGTTTGCATATCATCACACATGCAATATGTACACAAACCCCCCACTCCGGTCCTAGATTATTCATTTCTCCTGTCCATTCTCCTACTAATTCTCTTGCTATTCAGGATAATTGCACAATAGGTCAAAATAGCCAAACCAGAAAAAGTCTGCCGTTTAGCTCACTTTCCAAATTGCCTACTGTATATTAGTCTAGATTTGAGATTCTCCTACCAATTCCCCTGCAATTCACTTTTTAGTGAATAGACCTGTTATTTTAAAAATAGTATGGAAAAAAAATTCCTGTAACACAAGAATGTACATGTGGGTGGGGCTTATATATGGGTGGAGCACAAAGGGGCCTCATAAACTCATATTGCCCAGGGGCCGTGTGTTGTCAGTCCGTCCCTGCTCTGGGGACATGTATTGTTTTCTGTGGACATGTATTGTGCTCTGGGGACATGTATAATGTTTTGTGCATATGTATTGTGCTCTGGGGACATGTATTGTGCTCTGAAGGTATCTGTATTCTACTTTGGTGACATCAGTCTGTGTTGTTTTAGAAAAAAATGCACAATGATCTACTGTGCTGTGGTGGGATGTATTGTTCTCTGGGGACATGTATTGCGCTCTGTGGGCATGTATTGTGCTCTGGAGACATGTATTGTGCTCTGCAGGCATCTGTATTCTGCTTTAGGGACATCTGTATTTAGCCCTAAAATCATCAGTCTGTGTTGTTTTAGAAAAAAAATTCAAATGTTCCTTTGAGAAAAAGTATCGGTAATTGGTATCGGCAAGTACCTGAGGGCAAGAACTTGTACTTGGTCTTAACAAAGTGGTATCGGGACATCCCTTAGTATGAGTGATTGTGTTTTATGGTGGTGCAATAATACAAGGCTTGAAGTTAAAACTGGGCATTGGCAGTTATGAAAGTACCACTAAAATCTGGAGCCTTGAGTAGAATTTGCTTTGGAGGACCCATAATGTCCGAACTCCTTTGCTTTACTAACAGCACTGACTCTTCAGCTTTATTATTTGTCTTCCTATGTCCTTACAAAGCGTTTAAAGTAAATCAATAACCAGGGTATGGTCATATAAATATTTATATATTCTTAAGAAGCAATAGTTCAAACAAACTATCAATGACCTTAGCTACAGTCCTTATGGAGAAATTCAACCTCATAATTCACAACAAATATACTGAAAAGTCCGTTCTGTGAACAACTCAGCTACCCCTACCCCTCCTCCAAGAACACCTGGTCTGTATTTATATTAGAAAATATAAGACTGGAAGACAGTCAAGTAACTACTGGAAGGGTGAGCAGAATGAATATCTCCATAGTGCCTGCAACTACAGAGGTCAGCGAGGGCTTGTTTTAAAGTTTACTACATGTCAAGAATATGTAGATACTTCAGTGTCCATAGCCTGGCCATAGATTCTCATTTAGTTAGGTAACCAGTTTAATTACTTTTTTTGTGAAATATTTTATGATATCTATTCACTCCCAAATTGTTCTCCACTTTCTTCATACCCTCCAGTATGGTCATCTCCAACTACCTCCTACTTTCCAATGAAAAACAATTATTTTTACACATTTAAGAGCAACCACTGTTTGCTTCACACCTCTTCTTTCTCATCAGACTGTACCTTTGCTTGCAGCTCCCTACCTACACATTACATTTTCTTAGGTGAGATACCCAATTGTGTACCTTTTAACAGTGCTATTCTGTCATGGAGACAGTGTTTAACACAGTTGCAGGACAGCCTCGGGGCAAAAGAAAACAGCTTCTAGGAGCGTCATTTCTTGCTGAAATGCTTTAGTGATTCAGCCTTCTTTTTAATTGCATAGGTCGTCTGGGTACAGACAGGAAACCCAGCCACCTTTCGGAAACGTGAACAGAAAGCTTGATATCCAAGATATCCATGTACCAACCAAATAGGTGGCAACCCCAAGTCTTTATATGTTAACCTTTTTTTTACTACCTCCCCAATCAAGACAAACCTATTCTTAAACTATGAAACTGATCGGTAGCTGTGAGGAAATAACATCAATTCTATGTACAAACATTGATATATCATCATCTATGCACATAGCTCTTAGCTTGTGTAGTAAGCGTTTATGAGGTACCGTATCAAAAGCCTTAGCGAAATCCAGATATACCACATCTACCGACCTCCCTCCATCCAGATCTCTACTTACCCCCTCGTAAAAAGTCAGTAGGTTAGTCTGACAGGAACGGTCTTTCCTAAACCCATGCTGATGATCACTAACTATACCATTAGCCTGATCAAATTCTACTAAATAGTCCTTAATCATTCCCTCTAGCAGTTTGCACTACAGTTTGCACACTACACACTAAGTTCATAGTCAGTAATAGAGCTTGAATTCTAATTCTGGGAGATTAGCAAAATGCTGCTAGATATACAGTTTGCTCAGTGTTTTTTAGCTGGCAAATACATTTGTGAATTATTCAAAGAGCTTTTTATGAGCTCCTATTAGGTCAAGTTCTTATTAAGTCAAGTTCCTCTTGTGCTGTTCATTTTTAATGTACATTTCAATTATGTACAATATGAATAATTATTTTTTTGACTTGTGAAGTTGCTGTACCTCACATTATGAAGAGATCCAAGAACTGCCCATTAAACTCCACAAGTAACTATATTATACCAATAATATTGCTTCAACATATTTATCAGTGAAATCTGAAAATACTTTATGCATGGTGCATTTGCACAGAAGCCACTGTTTGAGCTCCCGCATTCCATAGAGGGACCCTGCTCTCAAAATGACAGCTAATCTTTGCCAGAGGAAGACCTGGATGTACGAGATATGCCCTAAGTACCTTGCAAATATGGCCACATTGGAAGCCTTAGGCCCTAGGGAGTTTCCAAAATTACTCCACTGGGGATCTGCCACTGGCCCTAAGCATCAATACACTTATGGCTTGGGCTGGCCATGCCCCTATGTTTTAAAAGGTTGTTCACAATCAATCTGGGGGTTTCTGCTTTTCTCTTTAATTCTGCTGGGGAATTTATACAGAAAAATGTTCCTGCTATGGAGCCATGTCTAGCAGAGATATTTTGAGACCCTCACCTCTCTACTTATACTCCCTTTGGTGGTTAGGAGTGTGTGTAAAGTTTTATGAGGCATCCATACACTTGGCAATATTCAATAGCAAAATTATCAACTTAGAGATGACTAGCAGTGTGTGTCACTTTCGCAAAAAAGAGGTGCTGGCAGGTATCAAGTACAGGCATGTAGAGGTGGCAGGAGTTCCACTTTAATTTAAGTAAGAACTCCATGTTCACTTTAAATCTGTTTTTAAATGCTAGACAGAGTGGCAGAGCTCATACTTGATTTAGTTTCACTATATCAGACCATTATTATTATGCTTTATATATAAGCACAACAGGGGGAATTTTCAGTTTGTTCAGTTAAGCTTTGAAAATGAAAGATAGAAGCTGATTGAACTCACAAAGCAGCCACTGCTCATATTCCTTATCCTATGGCCACACGGCCCCATCCCTCTTGTCGGTGCAGGCAAGAAAAGCATTCTGCAGCCTGATGCTGGTTTTCACAGAAACAATTTCCACACAAACAACTGGTATCGCAAACTGGACAATGTTTATTCCCGAAGTTAAAACATGCTGTAAACAAACACAGGCTCATTCAACTCTAACATGTTTCACAATTAGCTTATTAAAGGAGAACTATGAGATGAGTGATTTCCACTCACCTCATAGTTCTAGCCGACCTGTGACAATGAGACTGTCACAGGTCGGCTCAGTAGATCGGGAGGTGAGCGAACACATACCAGGTTCGCTCACCTCTCGATCCTGTCACGGCTCTCTGCCGTGACAGGGGGAGGGCTGGATTGCTCTCTCCCCATTTTTCTCTGCAACCCCCGAGTCTGGCTCGGGGTTACCGCTCCTAACATTGAAAATTCACCCCGAGCCAGACTCGGGATTACCGCCAGGGAGGTTAATGAAGATTCATCTCTATGAATAAGCCCTTTGGTGAAACATGTTAGAGTTGGAGGAGACTGTGTTTGTTTACAGCATGTTTTAACTTCAGGAATAAACATTGTCAAGTTTGTGATTACCATTTGTATTTGTGTGACAATTGTTTCTGATTGAAGCTGATTGGTTACTATGGGCAACTGCTCCAGATTCTGTTTCCTACAGTTTTGATAAATTCCCCTCAATATATTACACAGCACAAACACTACAATTAAATAATATGGGGTATAAATTGTAAATGCCAGACATAATAAAGTACAAATCTACAGTAAATCTAAAGTGTATCTAGTTCCAGTTGACTAGTACCTTCCCATATCCTACTTTATTCAGGATAGTTGCAATATCTTATTCTATTCCTTATTACCAGGGTTATTTTACTTCCTCAGATTTTCATCCACCTTTTGGTGCACACGCTGTCAACATATACATATCACTTCCTGCAGAAAAATATCACACATTAATTTTTACTCGCTGAATAATTTTCACTACTTTCACCATTAAAATACAAGGCATATTGTGCTATTAATCATTCCTTTTCGAGGCTTGAAGTGTAAAAGAAATAAAAGCCTAGTGGTGACGTGAGTTATATTTGTATGAAGCTATGTTTAAGCAGGAGATATTGACGCTTGAAGCCGCCTGCTGCTTGTAAAATAGTATTTTGAAAAATTGAATCAATCATTGTTGTAACAATTGGCTGTCATGAAAAAGCTTTTTTTAGTAGACTGTAATTCCTCATGGGTACCAATGATGCAGATTTCAATTACTTACACAGTAATTATTCACATATAAACAGTAACAGATGTTATGTTGGATGTTTTGTTCGAATTATACAAAGGGTTGTTATAAGAGAAAATTTACCCAAAGCTAAGGAATACATGTTTTGGTACACGGGTCTAGCCAAAGTTGTGGTTAATAATTATGTCTTACAAGAGACACTTGCTTTGGGATACAAAGAAAAAAAAAAGCTTTCAGACCAGAATCATTACTGAATCCTCCAGAGTTCACCCATTAATGCTGACTGACAGTTTGAGATGAGTTGCTAAACTGCTAGCAGAGATGTAATTTTGTCTGCCTGTGTGTATAAACAGCTCATAGGGTACCCTGGGCATCTCACAGCCAGCATGCTTGAATATGCAAATAGCAACTTCTGAAACTGCAGCTATTTTGATCCTATACTATGGTGGACATCACCACCACCAAATCAACTGCTGACTAGGGGGATTCCCTGCCCCACGGAGGCATATAAACAAAGGGGTGGGATGATTGTGCTGACATTATTGACCTTATCCATATATCCTGAATCTGAGCCCATAAACATGAAGCACATATGCCATGCAGCCTATAATGTCAATAATGTCACAGCATCCCATCCGCTGTGGGCAGGAAATTTCCTGGCAGCTGCTGACAAGGCAGCAGTGGCTTCCTTCCGGGTTTGGAGAAGCTCAGATTAAGACCGGATTCGGTCCTAACTTGTATCATAAACCTACATGTGTGTTTATTCAATCTCAAATACTATGTAAATATGTAATTATGAATTTCAACTGGACTATAGAATGACATTGGACAAAATGACATTCTTTTGCATTCTTTTGTGTGGTCTCACATAAGCCTTTCATTATATGGCAACATGTGACACATAGGGTGACCTTAAATTGTATTGGACATCCAGCATGGGGATGGCTAAAATATGAAATCATGTTAGAACATTATGTGCATGACAAAGGTAGCTATGGTTCATATTTTTTTCTATCAATTTGTTAGTCTGAGCTTTTCCTGACATAAATGACAAATGAAAAGAGTAATTTAGTAGGAAAAAAATTAAAAGAAAATGTGATTTTGTGTAATTAGCTACAAATGTTAATTAACATGCACAGTTTAAACATAAACATGAATCTGGTAGGATTTATTTTGCATAAAATTAGAAGAGCGTTAACATGATTATAAGCTATATTAGCAGTGCACATTTTTGCATAAATTAATACTTTTTTCAGTTTACCTTCTGGAGGTTCAAAATCTGAACATGATCATATCCATTTTATTAAAATAACTGCATCAATGTATGCAATAAAAGCTAAAGGGCAAACAACATAATTATTTTTAATATTTGTAAAATGATATTTTTGGCAATTATCTAATATGCAAACCTTAGATTTTAATATGTTTCAACCTGAGGTTTATTTGCTGGCATGAGATTAAAATCACCTACAAAGCTTAGCCCCCTCATTCTATTGCAGCTCAGCACAACTCAAATACATTTTAAATAACTGCTATCAACTTTTGAAACATACACGGTCACAGGGGCAGCTCAAGCTATCACATTAAGGTTTTTTCTAATTGTCTTTCCAGTGCCTTGCAGATAATTGACAAAGAAGTAATCATGTCTGCTTAAGAGACAACTTAAAGTGACACTAAACTCAGGAGTTCAAAATGCATTCAAGTACCTTAACTATTAACAAACATAGTAACTGATTTAATATGGCAAATGATAAAATGTTTAAATGTGCAAGGCTGTTTTGCAAATTCATCCTTAACTGCAAAACTAAGTCCACAGATGTAGGGCAGAATAAGAAAAAAAGTGATACATTCAAGAGATATTTTTTCAGATATTTCAAAGTGATCGACTTCATGTGAATAATTTTAGTGTGCTTTAGTGTGTTAAAAGCATGCTTCTGTGTTGAGTCAGTCACTACATAAAATGGCAGATTCTTAGGAAATACTGGCTCGGCAACCTGACAGTGCCTTGCCAATCCTCTTATCTTACTGCAAAGTTACATTCAGGTTACACAATTGTATTTAAGATTTACCAGCACCTATGTAGGGCAAGGGCCAACCTGATTGAATATAAACTGGATGGATTGTCTAAGTAGGTCCTAACATCACTTAGTTGTTGACAGAGCTAATGGAAATGGTTCAATCAGATTCCAAAGTGTGTGATCAGCTTACATCTTCTGATAAAGGTTTGTTTTATTTAAGACAATTGATTCTCTGCAGTCTTTGACATAAAAGCACCACAATGCTCCTTCTAGATAAATACATATGGGGTTGATTCAAAGTTAACTTTGCAAGGGAGTTCAGTTATCCCTTAGCTTAGACAATGTGGTAATACATTCATTTTGCAAAGAATACCCAGTCACTTGGAAGGAAAATAAATAAGTAGTTTTTTTTCTTGCACTTAATTAAATAATGGAAGTCAGCAGAGTTTCACCTCATTCACTAAGCTATGAAAAAAGTTCCATTGCAAAATGAACCGTCTATTTGCCTTCAGTAAAGCAATCCCATAGACTCCCTATGCTTTAGATTATAGAAGGGAGCTTGGCAACAATGTTTTTTTATGCAAGGCAAGAAAAAGGTACAATAGTCAAAAGAAAGATCTCATTTAGTTATGTTGTCTTGTGCCCTATTAAATAATGTGTAATTTACTTTTAATAGTGGGTTTACTTAAAGAGATCACAACATTGTATGAATGTTTTATTTACAGTAATAGCTTGAGTAATTACGTACAACCAAAAAGCATAATTCAGCTCTTATTTAACTGACTATGCGTATCTGGTAAATACTGGTTTTTGAGAGGTAGCAATTGGTCTCTACTACTAATAAATGTGCTTTGCACAGTGTTATGTGTAAACCTGGACTTTGGGCATACTACAGGAGGGACCACAAGCAGTGTCTACGAACTGTTTCCGCACTCACATCCAACCCAATTTGTTGTCAGATTCCTGCATATGCTCTGACTTACTGTACTAAGTAAGTTGAAATTTACAGAGGACTATGCTCCCACGCCCATACCCCCATTTGACAGTGATTGGGCCCAACAATGGGCTGTTTAGGTACCAAAAGCTGTATTAGAGAGAATGTCCTCTGTGTGTGTAAGCAATGGTTAATGAGTGGCTGGTCCCTCCTATAAGCTGAAACTGTTACCATGTTTAGTATTGGGAAAGTAGAGGTTCACTTTAATAAGGGCACTGAGCATAATGCTTCTACTATTTGCTGAAAATGGTGATAATGGAAGATATAAGATATGAAATAGATACACAAGTGTTTCTGTCTGCATTTTACAGCATAGGATAATTTTGCCTAATGTTCACTTCTAACAACAATATTATCCTTTAATTACACTTAAAAGAGAACCATTTAATTATCCAGTAATTCATTTTTAATTAGAATGAATCCTTAAGAATACATGTAATAGCAATTATGACAGGATATTGGATGAAATGAATGCAGCCGTTTTAAAAAGCTTTTAATAATTACATTTCAATATGTAGCGATTCTGAGATATTTTCTTTTCATGTGTTGTGCAGGTTACGATGTCTGGTGAAACAGCTGGAGAGAGGAGAAGCTTCAGTAGTGGACCTGAAAAAGAACCTGGAATATGCAGCCACTGTGCTTGAGTCAGTTTATATCGATGAAACAAGGTGAGAGACCCAGAAGTTTTATTGTAGTGATGATTACTAATTTTGCTGTCATCAGAATTTCAGTAAAGTGAAAACACTTTTACTAATTAAGTTGCTTAGGTGAAATTTGCTTGAAAAAAATTTCTAGAATACTAAACAGGTATTTGACTGTGGGATATGTCAAATACAAGTTACCCCGCCACACACTGTGGTTCCTCCCACAGGTTTGATCATCCTGTAGTCACTGACATGGTCACTTTAAGCAGGTTTTAATGCAAGAAATATTTATTCTGTTATTTGAGTGGTCATTCTGCTGCATGCACAATGTCTACACATAATGTATGTCAGTGTAGACTGATTCTTAATTGGCTCTCTGCAGAGAAATTAGTGTATTGTATGAATTTTCATCAAAACATTCCAATTGTTAAATGAAATATATTTAAGAAGGAGCTACTATAAGGTTGACTATCAGTTTATAATAACAATGTAAATATGTTTGGAACTGACTTAAAAAGTAAATTATTGTATGTATTTCTAAATGTATGAGGGGCGGTTACTGATTAAAATTTTCGAAAATGTTTTAAATCGATTAATTTCAATGAATTATAACGCACATACAGATCCAACTAGATTGGCCTATACATATACAGCACAGCAATGAAGTAATAAAATGAACTAGGATCACACTAATCCAGCACGTTATTAATCTCACGTGCCCCACTCAATATGGCCGCCCCTTGAGCGGGGAAACTCAGAATAATAACGTGCTGGATTAGTGTGATCCTAGTTCATTTTATCACTTCATTACTGTGCTGTACGTGTATAGGCCAATGCCTTGGCTGGCGCTTGTGCAGAACAATTTTCTTGGGCAAACCTCTTAGTTGTAACGAAACCGGAAGTCAGGCGGTCGCAGAACTCGATAAGTGTCGACAGATCACCGGTGATTGATCGAAAGTTTAAACTTATCGAGTTCTGGGACCGCCTGACTTCCACTTTCGTTACAACTAAGAGGTTTGCACAAAAAAGTTCTTCTGCACGAGCGCCATCTGCGGCATCGCTCTATACACATACACCACAGCAGTTAAGTAATAAAATGAACTAGGATCACAGTAATCCAGCACGTTATTCATCTGAGTTGCCCCACCCAACCGGCGACCATATTGAGTGGGGCACCTGAGATAAATAACTTGCTGGATTACTGTGATCCTAGTTCATTTTATTACTATCTTGAGGAAACCTCGTAGTTCTAAGGAAACTGGAAGTCAGGCGATCCCAGAACTCGATAAGTTGGGACTATCGATAGAACACCGGCCCAAGTGGCTCTGTCGGCTTACGAAGGGAAGGGGAAGGAGTCTGCTGAGTATGTTCGGCCAACCCAAAGCCACACGAAGCCACCCGATGTACGACTGATTCTGAAATCATCAGTACAAACCTGAAGTGCATAGCCGAACAGTCGGTTGTTCAGTCGGCTTAGTGAATAGAACCCTCAGTTGTTTGTATGTGTCTCGCTCAGTGGCGTAACAACTGGGCACACAGCTGGGAAGGGGGGGCGCCAGGCCGTGACAAGCGAGACCCGGGGAATTAAAGGTTGCAGCGGTGTGGAATCCCAGGCGGTAAGTTAGTTTCTACATTTAGTCCTGCTGTGCACAAGCAGGACTAAATGTAGTGTGGGGAAGCCGATTGTTTGTGTACATGTGATCTTGGAGATGTCGCCGAGACGGCAGCCTCCTCCCCCTGCATTTACCTCTCTCCTCGCTGGCTCCGTCATCCGGCTCTATTGTCCCAGAAAGGTTTACTTTGCTGGATCTAGCTGAGTAAACCTTTCCCTGCGATCTGTTTTTTTTTCTGATATCGGAACCGCCGGCCGTCGTCAGTCAGAAAAAACAAAACAAAAACCCCAGCATAGGAATGCATAGCTAGATTCCTATTGGCTATTTCACTTTGCAATAGCCAATAGCAAACTAGCTATTGTACTCGCCCTCTGCTGCTGTCAATCAGCAGAGGGGGGCCTGAAGTTCTCCATCAGGTCCCCCTCTGCTGATTGACAGCAGCAGAGGGCGGGTACAATAGCTAGTTTGCTATTGCCTATTGCAAAGTGAAATAACCAATATGAATCTAGCTATGCATTCCTATGCTGTTTATTTTATTATTATTATTATTATTATTATTATTATACTAAGAAAAAAAACCCTGCATATAGCAAAGAAGCTATTGCTTCCTGTGCTATCTGCCATCATTTCAGGGGGGTGTGCTCTCTCCTCCCCCTGTTCCCCCCAGCAGATGGGGGGGGATGGGGAGAAGGCACCTCCCTAAAATGAGAAGGGCACCTCCCTGAAATTGCTTTTTTCAGGTTGGGATCCCTGGTAACCCTGCTGCTCCATGTAAACAGTGAGAGGGGACAGCAGTCTCTCACCTGTCACAGGAGTTCCAGCACAGTGCTGTGCTAGAACTCCTGTCTTGGAGGTGACAGGGTAAATAAAGAGAACCTGTCACATCCAAATGCTATCACACAGGTGCTTGTTAGCTCCTGTGTGATAGCGATACAGTTAAGTGAAAAAAAATTGATAAACAATCATTAAATAAAAATAACAATAAAAAATAAGTAAAAAAATAATAAGAAAAAATTATTACATTTAAAAAATAAAAAGTTGATTAAAAAGTAAAAAATACCATGGCCCACTTGCCATGATAACCAGTTGATTGGCAGGCTCCTTCCCTACAGCGACTTGCCCAAGGTCTGCACAGAAGGAGGACTGGAGCCTGCCAATCAGCTTGTTACTATTCCCTGGGTGATATTTGGAGGCGTACAGGGACATGGAGGGCATGCTGGAACTTGTAGTTCCCTGGGTAATATTTTGGGGGGGGCGTAGAGGGCCAATATTGGTATGCTAGAACTTGTAGTTCAATTACTATATGTCCCAGCATGCTCTCATTTTACCTGTACAACCCCACATATCACTGGGGGGCAAAATTTTGTTCTGCCCTGGGCTCCCATTACTCTGGTTACGCAACTGGTCTCGCTCACTTGATGGTTGGATAAGGCTTGCTCTTGCCTGATAATAATGGGCATCAAGGCCTAGAGGCAGGCAGACAAATGCAGGCTATCACTGCATATGGCACACTAGCTTCCACACTAGCTTTTTTTTTACTTTGCCATACTCTATCTTTCCGCAGGGGCTGGCTGAGCAGAGAGAGGGAAGGACAGAACTCACAGCATTTATATATCCCTTTCTCTCTATATAACATCCTTGTTGCAGCCAGTCAGTAACAGGGAGAAAGGAATGTATTTTTAGTTTGTGTTCTGTCCATTTCTCTGCTCAGCTTGCCACCGTGGAGTTATACTATTATAAATCTCAGCAAAAGAGGATAGGTCAGCTTAATTCAGTAGATTTTGGAAATGAAGAACCACACCAATTAAAAAAATTCAGAAACAACTTTATTCCATTAGGGTAAGGGGACATTCAGGTAGAGCAGCCACCACATTTTGGGGGGTTCAAAACACACTCCCTTCATCAGGACTTAATGAAAGAAATCATGTATGTGGACTACAATCCCGGCAGCTTGAAAGTTGTATTAAGTTCTGATGGGAGTACTTTAGACTTGTCAGCAGCTGGTTTGGCTGGTGTGGCAATTCAATCCCAAAATCTATTGGGTTCACTGTTGAGCCAAAGATACTGTGTAGATCTTTTGGCTTGTGGAAGTTGCCTACCCATTAGCCAGATCATACATATTCAAAACACTTCACCACTCTTGGATGAGGAACACCAACAGAATAACCACACTGGTCCAGTGCTCTCTTTCCACTTCCAAATGTTAGCTTAACTGATTCAGCACGACCACTGTTTTCCTCCCTTTATAGGAACTGCTACTGTGTCTAGTACACTGCCATCATCTGTGCTGCATATGCAAGGCCAATATATAAATGGCAATAATGAATAAATAAATAGATAACTAAAATAGGTTAATAGAGATATGAGCAGATACACAATACCTCTCCTGGGCTTTTAGCTCTATGGACATCCTGGAAAGACAGAGATGCTCATAAGTAGAACATGCCCCTTATTCATATAATTGAAAGTGCTGAGGAGGAGAATGATTGCACATCATGGGTATTGCTGTAGAGGTGCAGGACAACAGCTGGAGATTGATAGATATTGTACTGACAGGACCCTGAACAAATTACTGAAATGTCTTTCACATGGCCAAGTGGGAACCCTAATCTGGCAGCATATTTGTGGGCTGCAGCAGCACTCCCTAAGTGGCGGTACACCATCCTCCCAATGTATGCCACTGCTGCTTGGGTAATGAATGTCAAGCAACTGTTCCAAAAATCAGGGCTGAATTTTATGTATGTGCTCCCCAAGCACCTTTATCTAATAACACTGTCAGGGCAGTTCTATTTAACTTAAAGTGAAATATTATTTTCTCAATATTGTTTCCAAAAAACTTACATGATAAAAAAAAAGGGAAATGATAATGAAAAAGAAGCAGTTTCTCCCCTCCTAGAATTTGAATACCATAGGCTCCAGACTATTTGACCATTCTGAAAAACCTAATTGCAGTAAATGTTTACTGTTGCAACCTACACATTGGACTATATATTATAATGTTTCTTCGGAGACCCATTTGGTCCTATATAAGTGGTTTTTATTTGCAAACATTTCTGTTACTGCAGACCTTTAAAATATTCAATACTTGGCTTTGATTACTATACTTTTGCACATACTTATTTTCCTTTAATATAATACATTTGAAAATGTGGCTATTACTGTCTTTCTAACCAGCTTTACTTTGCTGCTTTAAAGTGATTAAAAATCCTGTGCCTGGGGACATCTTTCCAGTAGGATTGTGGGAACGATGAGAGAAGATGCTCTTGCACTGTGCTGGGAATAGGGTTTCTTGTTGTTCTCATTATCTCCCTAAAAGGATCGTAATGGCACAGTCTGCAGTGTGAAAGCTGGGGGTAAGGTGATATATGGGGGTGGGGATAGCAAATAAATAAGCAGACCTTATTTTTAGTGTCAAGGTCTAGTGTAAGGTCTACTTTAAAATGTAAATCCAGCCAACCCATTTATTTAAGTTTTTAAAGTACTTAGAAGGGGTTAGTAAAACTTTTGTCTGGTCTTTATTGCTGTGAGAGTTCTACTTAGGGTGTTTTTCCTCAATTCCTGTCCCAATGAAAGTGGTCACCAGAATTGGAAGAAAGGGAAAATCTTTCACACGGACAATCAGCCTTCCTTACTACATGTCATCAAGACTTATTACAAATACTTAGAGTGTAGAGTTTCTCGGTTCTAACCAATATTTTGATTTTTTTTTTACAGACGTTTACTGGACACTGAAGATGAACTCAGTGACATCCAGTCAGATTCGGTTCCTTCAGAAGTTCGAGACTGGCTGGCCTCCACCTTTACCCGACAAATGGGAATGATGCTAAGAAGAACAGAAGAGAAACCAAGGTTTAGAAGCATCGTACATGCAGTGCAGGCTGGGATATTTGTGGAAAGGTAAGAAAGGATTTTTAACCACCACCAATAATTCTGAAATTTTAAAACAACGTTTAATTTATAGCTAATACTTCATTATTTTTTTTGTATCAAGATTGTTAACATTGTCTTATATAATTTATATAAGAGAAAATTATACCAATCACTTCACTGTACTTTGCAGATACAATATTAATCAAACTGCAGTTGTACCCCTTTTTATCTGTAGCAGTGTTAAAAATGCAACTGCATTTTTAACTGCATTAAAAGTTCTAAAAATTGAACACATTACGTGGATAATTTTTTTTGTAGAGCATATATGCCAGTTTTATAACGTAACTCCACTTTTCAGAACATTTTTGTTTGTAGTTCATCCTGGCCAATAAGAAATTTGGCCCCCAATACATCAATAGGTTTAACAGGCCAAATAGGTTTAGCATTTTTGTCGCGCGTTTCCATTGGGATACAGCCAAGTAGCCCTCGGAAACGCGTTTGCCGCGCGTTTTTTTACGAAAAGCGCGACAAACGCGCATATTCGATACGCCTAGGTGTGAACAGAGCCTTAATAACCTATTTTGGTCTGTTACACCTATTGATGCATTAAGTGCCAAATTTCTTATTGAGCATGATGTTTCCAGTGATAATTAGATTATAACTAAAGGGTCTAAAGTATTAAGTCTAAAGGTGTTATTTGATGTTATCTTACATTACTACATACATTAGTGCTGCCAATAACAGCTTTCATCAGGCAAACTTGATGTGTTTGCCTATTGAAGCTCTGAACTCTGGATATTTAAATAATTTGGACAAGTTTAACAATGCAAAAATATGGATAAATACCCTTTAGAAATGTATATTAAATTATTATTATTATCAAATGCTACAATTTTGAGGAAGGTAGAATAATTTTTTTTTTACTTGTATGGAAATACTGGTAATATTAACACTACGAAAAGGGACTTGTGCCCACAGCAGCAGGAGCCATGTAGTTTACACAAATACTTTTAAATAATTTCAAAAGAATTTTAAAATAACCTTTGCACTGGTAGTTTACTGATTTATTTTTAGCTTTTTATATGCCTCGTAAAAAGAATCTGAAAACTATGAAATGATGAAATGACAAAGCATAACATCTGTGTAAATGGCTTCTGGTTCATCCATTCTGAACCTGTGTACCAGTACTATTTCAAAAGCAGTGAAGCTAAACCTATCCATTGTCATTGCTCTAGAGTTGCAGAATGGCTGCTACCATCACACCCTAGGTCTAGGAGCCAAGGGCCTTAAAGTAAGGGAGGTCACTTTTTTGTTTATGAAATGTTTTTTAAAGGGAAAACCCAACAAAAATTTTTTTTAGCAAAAACTTCTGTCAGATTTTTAGCGCTGGTTGTGTTTCTGCTGGAGAGATGCTTGCTTACTGCCTGTATGCAATGGACACTGAGAAAATGAAGGGCAATCCAAAATAACATTGGAACAGAAAGTAAATGGAAATCTACCAATGAAAACACCTTCACCTGCCACCTTACCAGTGATAACTATCAGTTAGATTTCTTCACACTTTGTGAAGATTCCCTCTCACTTCTTGTCACTTCTCCAGAACAGGAAATGAGAGGTGATCTTACCAATGGGCAATATACACCTGAAAGAGGCTCTAACACCCCCTCATTCTATCCAACAACTTTTGGAGAGAACAATTAGAACAACACCAAAAAGCTATCATACTGTATACACTGAGTAGTTTATACAATGAAGCATTTGCAGAGACCATTGTTTTAATTTATATTTGGGAAATGTTTCATGCATTTGCAAGTCATAGCATGAACTTTATTTTAAAAGTAATTTAGTCTGTACGCAACCATTTTCATTAGTGATCATGTTGTTGCCGTAGGGTACGAAAGTCTGCTAAAGAAAAGGATGGCAGGAAGAATGAGCATGAAAACTCAGAGCTCTGTTATTTTCTTGCCTCAGATATTAACTTTGAGCAGGTATTGTGCCATGTACAATATATCTCTTGGCTCCCTGCTACTTTCTATAAAACTGCACTTAGGAATTGGCCAACGGCGAAGGTTTTAATATTACAAGCAAAGTAGAACTACAAAGTTATATGTTTGTGGACAGTGCTGCATTTCTTTAGGCCTGATTTATAAAAAACAATGAAGGAAAAAAAATGTCTGTGATGGCCATAGAGACATATTACAAAATAAAACCAAAATCCCAAATGGTCGTTGTTATGTATTGTCTATGGAATAGTGTAGTTATTGTTTGAATGCTGGTTTAGAAAAAAATACATTGGTTATCAATCACTCTACCTGTTTCCCCTTCATTTGGGTTGCTTTATTGAAGCCTATTAAAGCCATATCTGTAACCCAGGAAATTAGGAATGTCTTCTTAAAGCGAGTATCCAGCCAAAAGAGATATTTTAGCCAAAGGTACAGTTTGAATAATTCTGTCTTATTTTGCCTACTAGAGACTCCAAATCTTCAAATAGTTCTGTTCACTTAAGGTGATTCGGATTGTCTTGCCCACCAATGTGTTCTCACTCTGTGTGCCATATTCCCCATAAAGATACTAGTGCTAATAAAAACATTTTAGAAACTGTCAGAGAGAGTGGAAGAATTTCCAATTTTAATATGGACATTTCTGTAATGTATATAAAGTATGTGCTATACAGTATGTTAAACTGGTACATATGTTCACATGCAATGTGTAACAGAATTCTCTGTACCAAGCTGCTTTTATATACTGCCATCTAGTTTTTGAATGTTGAGTGCTTTAATCACATGCTCTGCTACTTAAACCTTCGTTACCCCTTAGTTGTTAACTCCTTTCTCCCATCCTTTTTTTTCACAAGTTTCTTGTGTACATTTGCTTCAAAGTGTTGCATTAAAATATACTGAATTACTGAATTAAAAAAGTAAGCAATGACAAAGTCATTGTCAAATCAGTAGGTAGATAGTTGAAATTGAAAATTTGCTCAAAACTATAAATATTGTTTTATATTTTATTATATATATACATACATACACACTTTGTGTTTCCATTCCACTTTCCAATATGTGTAGCAGAATGAGAAGACTGGATAGTTGACATTACATATATTTTTGCTTGTGTTTCATAGCTGTAAGTGTAAATATTTTTTTATTTTGTTTTTAGGGTTCTCTTGATATCTAATCCAGTACATTCCTGCCACACCAATACACTATGCACCATGTCTCCTTACTGTGTTAGTATAAAAAATAATAAGCTACATTATTTGTCTTTACAGAATGTATAGAAGGACATCAAACATGGTTGGGCTCAGCTATCCACCTGCAGTCATTGCTGTTTTAAAGGTAAGAATTTGAGAGCAGTCGCTTATTGATGTTTGTTAAAAAATAGACACATTATTAGTAACAATTTAAATGGTACTGTAATTTTCCATGCTGCTATATTTATATAAAGTATTGACTCAAGAGTCAATTAAAACAACTGCATATTAAAAAAAATGGATTTGATTTAGTAGAGTAGAGACTGTTAGCATATACTTAGCAAAGTAAATGTTAAAGAATATGTGAAGGCAAAGACAAACGACTGTACCAGCGTTGGGAGTTGGGGGGATTGTTCTCCAAGTCTCAGCCTCCTTCCTCCCCTGGCTACTTGTAGTGAACTATGAACGGGCTGAATAGCGATGCTGTGTGTCCTGTATTGTGTGTGTCCTGTATTGCGTGTGTCCTGTATTGTGTGTACTGTTTTGCGTGTGTACTGTATTGTGTGTGTTGTGTGTACTGTTTGCATGTGTATTGTGTGTATTGTATTGTGTGTACTGTATTGCATGCATATTGTGTGTACTGTATTGTGTGTGTTGTGTGTACTGTATTGTGTGTGTACTGTGTGTGTGTATTGTGTGTACTATATGTGTATTGTGTGTGTGCATTATGTGTTGTGTGTGTATGCGTATTATGTGTTGTGTGTATTAGGCCTCATTCACACTGGGCGCATACGTCCATGCGGCATGCACACCTGTAAACAGTTGATCCCGGGAGTGAGAGGTGCTGCGAGTCATTCGTGTCTGATGGATCCTTTCTGCGTCCAAGTGCGGACCCCCGTAACCGCATAGATGTGATCTCCGTGTCTCCTTAAGACAGCGTACAGCCGCATCCTCCCATAGGGAAGAACAGGCTGCTGCACACAACCACAACCAGCACCTGTCCCTCCCGGGATCGGCTGTTTACAGGCGTGCATGCCGCATGGAGGTGTACACACAGTGCGAGTGAGGCCTTATGTGTTGTGTGTGTACTTTGTGTGTTTTATGTGTGTGGTCTGCTGTACGTTAGTTTGGTTCTGAGGTCTGCCATATGTTGGCTGTGGTCTGAGGTCTCCCGTGTGTTGGTTCTGGTCTGAGGTATGCTGTGTGTTGATCCTGGTCTGATGTCTGCCGTGCATTGGTATTGGTCTGAGGTCTGCCGTGCATTGGTTCTGTTCTGAATTCTGCTGTGCGTTGGTTCTGGCCTGAGATCTGTCGTGCGTTGGTTCTGGTTGGAGGTCTGCCATGCGTTGGTATTGGTCTGAGGTTTGCCGTGCGTTGGGTCTGGTCTGAGTTCTAGTAGGATCAGAAGGACACATGAAAGAGACTGTCAATTTTGAAAGTGCAGGTTAGAATACACAATATTTTTAGACATCTGCCCAAATAATAATTTTAATTATAACAAAACGTTCTTCAAAAAATAATAATACACCTCTTTACCCAACTCTTCTACATAATCACATATGAACATATCTGTATGCACAAACTCCCAAATGGAGCTTTATTGAAAACATCACAGCCAAGCACAATGAGATCATAGATTTAGTACATACAAATTAAAAGCTAAAGCATTCTGTACGATTGCCACATGTTACAGCAGTACAATGTGAGGTTACATGATGCAGATAAAACAAATCTTTTGGTTCGGTCTGCACAATATCTAGGAACGTCTCTTAGTCCCTTAGCTCTAAAATTGAGATTTACAGAGTACATATTCTTACAACTGCAATGAAGCTATCTTACTGTTTTAGTACAAACTATACTTTCACAAAAACATCCTAGAGTCTGTATGTATTCAGAATGTCTAACAATATATTTGCAGCTCATTCCAATCTCAAAATAAGGAAAAGTGCCATATTCCTGTATTTAAAGTTAAATACTACTTTTCTGTAGACATGGGTTAAATGTCAGCATCTGATCTGAGTGTACAATTATTCTTTATGAAACTTTTATGACAGCCATCATATTGCCTGAGCTAGGTTCTATAAGCCATTTGTCAGCAATGAGTCACTCGCACACTTACAGGAAAACCATAGCATTTTTCTTTCTGTTCATTGAAGTGACTACTGGGAATTGGGACATAACCCTTGACAGATATTGAGCATAAAGCGAAATTTCTAATTTAAAATCTAAATCTTTAATGCACAGTCGGAACAATGACACCGAGCTATGCAAGAACTTACACAGACTACACCATCATTTGCAGTCAGAAAATACTTAATGCTTGCTAGAGGCCATAGCTTGCTGCTTCATTATACATTGATTCCAAAGAAAACATGTGTTTAACTATTTCAGCCAAACAAATTCTACACTGATATTTTCAAGCCTACACCAACTATATTCTTTAAAGTGTATGTAAACCCTAACAATGAACTATCCCTCTTTGCCCCCCTTTGTTCTGTTAACTCCCCTGGAGTTAACCCTGACCATTACTCAGGTTTAGAATTCAATAAACGGTTTACCCTAGGTGTTCCCATTAAAAGCATTTTGTCTGGCTGATCCTACCAGAAATCTAGTCAGCTGCTAACTTTCTGCACTGAGCTGTCAAAGCTGCAGCGAAACCTCAAACATTTCTATCAGCCTTGTCTGAGTTATCTCTGTAAACCATACAACACCTCTCCCCATGTTAGAGAGATGAAATGTCCTAATACACTACCCATCCTAGGGTGATAACGCTGCTCCTCCTTAGATGTAGTGCAGTGAGTGAATGTTATCACCCTAAGACCAGAAGTATATTACTGGCAGAATCACCAGGAATAAAAATAGAATAAAAAAAGTCTGCAAAAAGAAACCTAATGACTGGGAATCTAAGACTGGAAAGCTGCAATATATTCAATTGTTGTTCTCAAGTTAAGATAAACTTCATTATATCTGCTTTGGGTGAGGGGAGGCTGTTGTACAGTGTGATATGTGTGATGCTAATTTTTGTTTTGTGGGGGTTGCACTAACATTTTGCCATGCACACCTTTCTTTTGCTGCTCTTTATTACCATTAAATATTGAAAACAATGGAAACTAAAGACAAACTAATAAAGGCCCATTTCTACAATCATTAAAGAAAAAATTATGGCTCATTGGAAATGTAAATGAACTATTACAAAACAGATGATACTTGAAATGGAGGTCATTTCTAAAACATAAAAAACAAGATAAAATAATAATAATTAAAAAATGTGTCTTTGCATTATTTTTACTTACAGAGGCTTCCCATTATAGGTAAAGAATGTACCATTGCTTACACAAATATATCAGCACACCTGCATTCATCTTACCTGAATCTATTAGCAAAACTATATCTGTCATGCTGGAAACCACTGATTAAACTATGGGACATAGCTAAATTAATTGAAAGTCATGGTCTTCTGCAATAAACAATACTAAGACCAAAACCTAAGTGCAAAGAGTAATAACCCATGGAGACCAATCAAAATTTATTTTTCTAATGTTAGACACATAAAGCTGGATTCTAAGTAAATGTGATGGTTATTCCACTTTTTTTCTTGCACTCCATTGTTGACCTGAAACGATTTGGTCATATACTTTATCAATATGGATATATGGGTGTATACACACACACACACACACACACACACACACACACACACACACGTTGAACTAGATGGACCTGTGTCTTTATTCAACTTTAACAACTATGGGGTCTATTCACTAAGCTGCCAAGGGCAGCCGAGTGAACAACTGACTCCAAGTGAAGTGAGCCGAACACTGTTCGGATATTCACTTCAGGCTCGTACGGCTGATTTCAGCCGTATATCGGCTGAAATCAGCCGTATATCGGCTGAAATCAGCCGTACATCGACTTGCTTCGCATGGCTTCGGGTCGGCCGAACATGCTCAGCATGTTCAGCTGACCCGAAGTGCAGAAGGAGTTCGACTCAGTTGATCCAACATCTGGATCGGCTGAGCCAAACCTCCAGCAGGCTACTCGCTGCTGTTCGGCCTATTCTTATAGATGCCGAACAGCAGTGAATAAATAGCCGAATGCCGCTGAGCGGCATTCGGCATGGCTGTTCTGCTCGGTCCCTCAGAGGTACCGAGCAGAACAGAAAAATAGTTTAAAAAGTACAAAAAAGTAAATAGAAAACGATTGTGCGAAGCTAGCAATGACAGCTAGCTCCGCCCAACAGGTTCTGTTGCCGTCAAAAAGAAAAGAAAAAAAAAACTCTCCCGGGCGCTCTGGGAGTCTCCCGCAGGAGAGAAACACTGCTTTTTCTTTTTTTTTTATTCTGACACGGAGCTGTGTCAGAATAAAAAAGTAAACCTGTGCCCAGATAATGCACACTAAACTATTTACATATTCTGAACAAGCATTAAAAGCACTTTAAGACAGGTCCTCATTCAACTATGTATATATAAGCATTGTGAAGAAATAACATTTTATATTTTACAGACAGGCAGTGTGCTTTCCTATATAAGGATATCTTGGGAGGATGCCAGCCCACCTACTGTAGAGTTTTTGTTATGATCGTTGACATTTAATGTGAATATCTTCACATTAAAAACTAGAACGGTCAGGAATGGCTTTTTTTAAAAACTCTTCTACTTCCTGTTAAGAATATGTAATAGTTTATTGTCTGAAGATTTGGCACCGGTGCAATTTAAATATACAAATAGAAACACAAGCACAATCAAGTTAGACCACCATTGCTAGCAATTTATGGGCTCCTTTAGCTACACAGGAAACATGCTTGAGATCAATGTACATCAATGACAGTTAAACTTAAACCCATGAACAAAAACATAATTAGTTTTTTGTTCATTAGGGGACACAGGATTCAGGGACATTTGGGTTATAATGAGCCTGATCAAGGGGACCCTGTGCAGCCCCAAAAGTGCTAGTTCTGATGACATGATGTTTTAAATATATGAGCACTTTAGACTACAATACTTTTGGTGTGCTGGTGACATCCATTTACCTATTTGGGTTATACTGCCACCTAGAATGGGATTTGGACACTGGCAAACAAAAAACAAAAAAGTGACAAGCCTTGTACAATCCCTCCCACTCCCAGAATGCCTCAGTATTTTTTGC